ATATTACATTTAACTTTATAATGCTATAACTTATTGAAAAGTTTATGGATCCACACAATTTTTTTATGAGAAATAATATTTTTTAATAAACCCTTTTTCATTCGACATACTTTATCTTAATCGAGATAATAAGAAACCAGCAGATCAAGTAGCTTTTGGAATAAAACACCAATTTTTTTTAAATTAAACACTATCTAAAGATTTGCATCGAAGCGTTTATTTTTGATAGTGATTTTAATCACTGTCAGATATCATTATACTTGATCCAACTATACCACGTCACAACTGTACCGCGACCCCCCTGTGCTGGGTTTTTTTTAATTTATTATTTAATTTATTTATTTATAGTAAATTTGTAATTAGCCTTAATGGGTTAATAATTCAATGACTGATATATAATACAGAATATAGAAAATAAAAGCTGTTTATAAGTATAAAATAATTATAAACAAAATACTAAAATACATACAGAATCTTCAGTATGTAAGGAAGGAAACAAGTAAATTGATACAAACAATGAGAACAATAGAAACCCGTTTCCTTACTTACTGAACACTCTATAGAATATTTATCATACGATTTAAGTAACAAAATTAGTAAAAATAACTACAAAAAAAATTTTCATTGGAAAACCCAAAAATTAAAATTAAAAAAAAGAGAAAAGTGAAGAAAAAGTTAAAAGGAAAAGCTCATGAAACTTGTAAAACAATAAAAAACAATATCAAAAAAAACCTTTTATAGATTTTTATATTATATAGAGTAAATACAATTATAGCAATTTTGTAATTAATCTTCACTACGACATTTAATGAGTATATTATATTANTTATAGCAATTTTGTAATTAATCTTCACTACGACATTTAATGAGTATATTATATTATACTTAATTTCTCATATAATATATACACTATAACACACTATTATTCTAAATTTTAAAATTAACCCTAACTATAGTGCAGTATTTGGACAAAGAAAATCAGTTGTACAATAAACAAATTTTAAATGCCTAAGTTGCTGGAATTAGATCATTTTGGGCCAACCAAAGATGGGAAAAGATTGTTTTTGTAATTTATAACTTAAAATACCTTTATATTTTATAATTATCTTAAAAAGTATGTAAATTAAGTTTATAATCATGTTTATCAGACTTTTTTGATTTACCAAAAAATTCATATTGGTACTTAGAACACTTAGCCTCATCAAGCCTCAACTATTCAATAATAAATTTAATATCAACATAGAATAACTTATAACGTTTTCGCGCTATATATATATATATATAATTATAAAAAGGTAATTTCTAAGATAAATTAATAATAGCAAAGAACCTTATTCTAGCTACTGAATCAGAAAAGAAATCAAAATTTTAATTGAATTACCTAACAACAACATATAATTAAGAAGAGTACAGTTTTTCTGATTAACTTTGATAATATTTACGATGTATTTCAAGCAATAAACAATTTTTAGAATAACTTAAATAATTAAAAAATTGAGTTTTAAAAGGCATTGTAGACTCTAATGCTTATCAATTAAAAAGACAATTCAATGTTTAGTGTATTAGCGATATATTTTATAAAATAATAAAAATTAAAAACTTGACATTTTTTATCAAACTATAGCCATTCTATTAACTAAAAATTAAATTTATTACTTTAAATAAATCTTACCTAGATAAAATATTCGATATTTAAAAATTTTATACAATAATAACAATTTTTAAAACTAGTAACGTTTGTTAAATTATATTAAGGATAGAAATTATAAAATTATATGATAATTATTTTTATTTATTATTGGTCAATTAGATATTTGGACTATGATGTTGTGAAAATGAGAAATAATGATGATTATGTTGAATTACAAAGAACATTAAATAATGAAAAATATCAACCACTCATAATTTTATCAGAAAAAGATCAAACTGTTTCAACGACTGAACAGGAACAACCAAACAGAAGTAGGAGATCATTACATTATTTAAAGCAGAAAGATCACGGAAATCACAAACAAAAAAAAGTTAAATTAAACAGCAAATATATTTCAAGATCTTAGCCATTAATAATTTAAAAATCATAGATAATAAATACGTGAACAGGATATGTACTTATTTGTCATCTATGTTAAAAATAACCTATACTGTTATTAAGGGAGTTTACTTAAATTTCAATAATCAATGTGAATTTTAATTGAACTTTAGAACTTATTTTTCACCTATAATTATAATTTTAATTTATTTCAAGTAATATATTTGGTTTTGTTGAAAATGTAAAATTATAATTACTTATATAGAAATTTTAGGTAAGGAATTCAGTTACTAGTTATTATAATAAATTAGATTTTAGTACAAGGAAAACTAAGAATGATTTATGAAAAAATTATTTATTATAAAAATATTTATTGCTTTTAACCCAAAAACGATTTGTTACAAAATTATATTTATTATTAAAATAACATTTTAATAAAATGAAAGAGTTTAAAAAAATTTTTGTTTATCTGAAAATTAATATTTTAAACCTATTTCTTTAAATTATTATTGTTCGCATAAGTTGTTATATAGCTGATAATAATCGTAAAAAGGTTATAAAATAAATTTTAGAAGTATACTTCTAAAACTTATTTAATTATATGTACAAATATAATTTATTTTTTAATATTTTTATTGAACAGACATGAGGATAATTACAATATAAAGACCTGTTTCATTGGATAAATTTAACTTAACTTAATCAATTTAATAAAAATAATTACTTTTTTGACCCTAGATCATTTTTTTTATTAGTCATACAATTTAAATGATTTTTTAATAGTCTTGTGTTTTAACATTTTTTCATAATATTGAATAAAATATTGCAATAATAAATATTATTCTAGATTAGAAAATACTGATTCGTTATTATTTTACAAATTATAAGCTTTTAGATATTAATAATCCCTATCAACTTAAATTACCAAGTTGGACCACTGGATTAACTTCATAAATCTGTCACTAGAACTTGTACCATGTAAATTAAAAGTTGTATTATTAGATATTAGAAAAGTCCTATTTTTTCATCTTTAGATATTATTTATAAACATTTTAATATTTAAGATTAATATGTTAAAAACTAATAATTACCTACAACAATTTAAATGCTTAAGCTTCGACCATTATAATTATTGTATACATTGTACACTAAACGTAAACTTTCAAACATTACTTGTAATTTATAACAAATCTGAATTATCCATTAATGAATGCAGTTCTGACATTATTTATTCTTTAATATATTTTTCATAAATTAAAAACATGAGTATAATATTAATTACAATTTTCTTTCTTTACTGGTTAACAATAAAAATACTACAATTAAGATTCTTTTAGTGAGATATTGAGATAGAATATCTAGACTCTACAATGAAATATGTATGAAAATCTTCACTAGAAAGTATTTTTATCCTCAGTACAAACATAGACAAATAATAAATAATAAACAAGTATTTTTAGGGAATGTTTGAGTTATAATTAACCAATAAAAATACATAACAAATAATAAATTATTAATTAAATTTAAGCTAAAATGAATGAGACGATTAATCTTTATAATGTACTTATAATTTATAAATATAAATAATATAATATAAATATATGGCAATTATCCATGGAATAAAATAAAACATAAATCACAAATAATACCACTTATTTACAAAAAAATCTCTAGAAATGGATTAGTAATTAGTAAAATACCAATACCAATTTGATAATTCTTTTTTATTTGTAGATTTAAAAAAACTATATAAACTTTCAAGTGTGGTATAAAATTATAAAACCTTTATATATATATTAATTTCCTAGTAAAAAAACTATTATACATCTCACACAAATATGCATATTGAAGAGTACATATACTTTACAGCAGATTTAGCACATATTATTTTAATTGATACAAATAATTTTAAGTACAAAGATCATCTCATATTATAAAATTACAAAATAGCTAGATCCTTATGAAGTAATAACAATAATAGTTGATTAATAATTTAAAAAGCTGAACTTAATAATAAAATTTAACATAAGATCAAAATAGTTGATATTTTCATTACAATTCTGTTATCATTATAGATGTCAGAGCTTGGACTCTTTTTGCATTACAACTTTTACATAATACGTGATCATCTAAAGGATAACAACCTCGACCTTCTGATTCAGACCCCAATAATGTATCACAATCCTAAATCAAAGTAATAGAATTATATTAATTATGGATATGCACTTAAAAAGTTATGTTAATTGCAGGGTATAAAATATCTAACTGATGGCTTTTATAAAAGTTTTCAGTTAGATTCCATTTTTTTTTTTAAACAATTTTTGGATTCTTAGGTTTTTTTTTAAATATATTTTTTATTACTTACTTTCAGTAATAAAAGTATGCTTTTAACATAGTCTAAGATTGCTTTAAAAAAAATGTAAAATAAAATTTTAATTATCATAAAACTCATATAACTTTAAAAAGTTATATGAGTTATCAATTAGATCTGTTCCAGCCTGTATATTAAGTTTTAGTAATAATGTTATTAAAATATTATAATTACTTCGCATCTATAGCATTGCATATGAAAGCTTCGGTCTAGAGCAACAAATCTTACAGTTTCATCTTGTCCAGCTTCAGGCATTATGGGCAATAAACATACACTACATTTGGGTGCAAATTTCCTAAAAGTATCAATTAAAAATTAATTATTGTTTTTCTTTTTGCATGGATTTTAGGGTCTAGTAAGTAAGAAAACGGGTTACTATTGTTCTCAAAATTTGTAACAATCAAACTGTCTCCTTACTTAAAGAACATCCTCTATAATCATATATATTCTAGGAATCAATGATAGTTTTCATTAGGATATATAATAATTATAAATAAAATTTGTCTGAAAAAAGGTATTATTTGTGCTAAACAATTTAAGAAGTTGTGACAGAATTTTACAAAATTAGTGAGTCACAAATTTTATGAAAATTAAAAAAAAATTTACATTAGGTATGCATAAAAAAAAATTTCAATAATGAGTTACCACCAATTTTCATAATAAAAAAGCTTATTAGTAAAAAGTTTATTCGGAGTGTTTTATAATTTTAGATTATTAAAAAACTTATTTTGTTGTAATTCTATTATAATTGAAATGTTTTCAATTTTATTGTTAAATGATGTAGAATAAAAAAATTTGTTGATAATAATGGTTATGATGAATATAAAATTATTAAAATTATCCATATCTAAGATTTTATTCACTGTGGAAGGGATAACAATACTTCCACGGGATCTCTGCCAATTGTAACAGGTACTTAATGAAGCAGCAACAGGTCAACATCTGGTGTAAAATGTTGTTAAAAAGTATGAGTCGTCTTGAACAGAACTTAGAATATCTAAATCTAAGATTTTAATAATTCCTATATTATCAATCAAAACCATAAATAAATACTCAACCAATTAAAATATACATTAAGTTGTAAGTTTTAAATCATTTTTGGTATAATGATAGTTTTACTTCTTGATAAAATAATTTGAAAAAAAAGATAAGATTAAGCTAATTAATTTAGTTAATAATGACTTGACAAATAATAAAAATATACTTGTGGAAATCATCAATGCAATAAATTTGATTTGCAGCATCAATAGTAAAAGGTATACCATCCAACAAAGTAGAACAAACAATACATCGAAAACAGTGAGGATGATATGGTCGTCCTGTTGCTCTTAGTATACGATCCAAAATTGGAATTTGACAAACAGAACATTTTTCCAGGGTATCCTAAAAATACAAAAAAATGATTAAATAAAAATAAAAAATATTTTTAACATAACAAAATGAATAAGTTTATTTAATATACTATAAAATAAATTAAATTTTAATTTAGACTTTTTAGAAAGAGCTTTAAAATTACTATTTTCTAACACCTATATATTGGAATTAATTAATAAAACTATTAAAAGGTAAATGACTTACCAAGTATCCTTCTTCACAATATGGTTTATTATCAATATGATAAAATGGTTTTCCTTCGAGTTGATCTCCACAATGAGTACAAGTAAAACATTTTATGTGATAGATATTTCCCATTGCAGTACATCCAAGGCCTTCTTCCATAACTTTTTCATTACACTTGGTACAATTCCCTAAAATTATAATTCAAACAAAAAAAATTTGAGCATAAAAATTAAATTTGATAGTTAAAAATTACGTGATAGTAATAATTTATTAGTCTAGATAAATGATATTAGGATTACAAAATGTCAGACACTGGCGTATTTACAGGTGTGGATATGAGTGTTATTTACTCACCAATGAAAGAAATAGTTCAAATAAAACTTTTTTTTGTAGGTAGTAAACATTATTAGAATGTATATAATCTAGAAAAAAATCCTAATTACTGTTAGATATTTAACATCATCATGAATAGGAAAAAAAATTTTTTGCATACAATTTCAATTTTCATTAGTCATGAAAAACTTATTTTAACTCTAATCATTATAATAACTTTTAGTTTATGAGAAAGATCCCAAGGTAATTCTTTTAATATTAGCCACTCGATTTTTTTTCTAAAATAATAATTATTGAAAGATTTTTTTTGTAATTTGTAATTTTATATATTTCTTGATTCATAATCCATACCTTATGCATTGCAAGAATGTGAGCTTTATTTTTTTTTTAATGGTAACATATATATTTAACTAGCTTATAAACAAAAAATAATCTAATTATAAAATTGACTGGCCAATAAGAACTTTTGACTCATAATTTTGAAAGTTATAAATATCTTAATATATAGAGTGTAGATGAGGTATGAGTTATATTGTTTTTATTATTAGGCATTACTATGTTGCGCTCTTCCTCAATTCTATATTTAAAAATGTTAATAACTTTCTAAATACTAGTAATCATTAAAATTACAATACACTATATGATGAATATTAAAAAAATTAATAAACATACAGTCTAAGAGATTTTGATGATTTTCCAAACTTGATTTTCCTTCATTTACAGACATTGAATTTACAAGAAGATCAGTTAAAGAATCTACTTCTGTTTCATGTTCGCGAGCTATAATAGACTGTGACAAACTACTCATTGAGTATGTAGATGATAGTTCACTTGGTGGTCTTACAGCATTGATGGGTTCATAGATAGATTCATACATTTTAGATGCCTAAAAATATAATTGTATCAGAATAAGAAGTAGTATTCTTTCTAAAATGCATAGATAAAAAATTTATTTTTTATTTTTACTTGAGAAGAAGAATTATCAAAATCTTTAGCATCGTCCTCATAGCTTGCAGCTTTCTGCAACTCAGAATAACTTGAACTAACAGGTGAAGGAGGGCAATGTAAATTATCCTTGCCTAAATGTTATTAAACAAGAGTTTAAAAAGATAAGATATAATAAAATTGTAAAATATCATAGCATACTTAATGGTTTCAAATTATCATATACAGGATATTGATCACTTTTATAGGCAGAATTGCTAGTTTTTGTTGTAATATTAGAATAAATATTACTTGAGTTAGGTTCATAAGATATATTACTGTACAACCCCTGTGATGATTGTGATTTTGAATTAATGAGGTTCGTGTTATAGTAAGTAGGTTCGTCTTTTATAGTTGGTTTGCTATTCTGGTATTTAACATCAGAAACGTTAGCATACAGTGGACTAGACGGTTTTTTGTACATTTTTTAGTTCTACATAAAATGATAAAGCAAATAATATAGTAAGTGAAAATGATATTTAAAGAAAAATGTAAAATAAAAAAATATTTGATATATGCAATAACTTATATATTTAAAATAAAATAAACTATCTTCACAGTAATAAACGTATCAAAAACATAATTATTAAATACTGAAAAAATAGTTTAATATTATACTGAAATCTGCAGTGATACTCATTCATCACTAGATAGGCGTTTGCAATCGTAAGCTGATTTTATCATTGATATCACAAAATCTCAATAAATATAACGTGATTAGTTATCATGGATGAATAAATACTTATAAAAAATATAAATCACAAAATAGGTTGGACGTATGAATTCTAATAAATTGCCGTTTCAATGTAGGTACCATTTATATAATGAAAAGTAACATTAAGACCGTTCCTGAGATTTGCTAAACTAGAAAAAATTATTATAAGTATAAGTGTAAAATTGGGAGGGGTTAGGAGAGTTCAACCACTTCAATTTTAAAATGAACTCCACCGAAATTGTAGTAAAAAACTATATGTTTTATTATAAAAAATAAATTTAAGATGGCGAAAATTAGATATAATAAGCTTCTTCGAAAATTTTGTTGAAATTGTACCAATTCCTGTAAGGTAGTTTATGTATTTTTCACAAACACAAGTCCTGGGCGCCGTCTATAGAGCGATATAAGCTGCTATGAATAGCGTAATAAGGAATGTACAAAAATAAATTATATGTAACATTATATAAATGTAATATTTGTTACAAATAAACATTATTTATTATTATTATAAAAAAAAAAAAAAAAAAAAAGGTGGATAACTACAATAGAAAATTATGATATATGTCATAAAAATTGTTGAAGACTTTTTAGAGTAATACAGAAATTTTTTGAAGTTAACAGTAGTGTCACAATTTTTGTGCCCTCTGCCTGTTAACCATCCTAGATAAAAATATAATTATTTAAAAATAACAGTTTTGTTAAACACAATTTTACAACATTTTTTCGAAAACCAAACTTCATTCTCGTTTTTTAAACATATGTCAGAGATAAGTTACAGTTTTAGAAAGAACCTTACTTTTTTGAGCTTTAAAACACCTTCAAAATGAATACTTTTTTAAAACGGTATGTAACTACAAAATAAATAAATATATCGTTTCAAATGTTTTCATTAACTTTACAAAAATTAAAAATGTCTCGATTATAAAAATAATTTATCGCCAATAATGCAAAATATCATGAATAATACAGAGAACGCGATACGTCTCACCAATTGGTATTTTCGTTTTTATAGTCAGGGCAGTATTTAGTAGGTGGCTCGGAGAGACAATAGCTCCCAAAAATTCTCAGGAGCGAATCCCAATATTGAAGAGAAAATCTTACAAATATTGTCAATATATAGTCGATAAAAAAAAATTATTTTAATATTGGTAGATTGTTAATATGTTAATAATAAAACAAAATTTGTTTTTGTTTACTAAAAAAAAAAACGTTGTCGACGATTAGTAGCCACACCTGACCTTGCGTATGACCAGGATAATGTCAAACTAAAAGGCGCATTTTAAAATTTCGCCTCGGGCATAATGTATGGATAGTCCTGAGTACATAGTTAAGTAAATAAAGTATACAGAGGAAAACAAAATGATATATTCCTATTCCTTTAATAATAAAACATTTGAATATTAGTAAAATTAATAATTTTTTACTAAATAAACTATATTACTTAATACTACTGCTAATGGACTATTGAATTAAACCATAAAATAAAAATTGAAAAAATGGATTTTTTCCGGTACTCTTCATATGTATATATATAATTAATCGATATCTACAAATAATCCGAGACACCTAGTAGAGCACTGTACGGGTCGTACTCATTTAATCCGACTCAAAACCTACTTGCACTTACACGAAACATTTATTCAATTAGTTTTTGGAAAAATTATATATATTTGAATAATATTCAGTTGATCATAAAAAATAACAAAACTTCTGTACATAGAATATACCTAATAAATTCTACAAATTTCATTTTTTTTAATCAGTCAAATTTATTTTATTGTTTACATACTTACATCTATATGGCACAAATATAATACAAATTTTACATAATTACATTAATTTTTACAATATATATATACACATAAATATATTTTTTTGATTTTGCATTTAATTATTAATTTATACCATTAAAATCTAGTTTTCGTTTTAACGTAAGGTAAATGAAACATTTCGGCTTGTATAAAAAAAAATTCTATTCACAAAATACAATAGATAAGATAGTAATGATTTATTTATAATTGTCAAAGAAAAATGTTCATTTTTTTATAATAAAATTACTTACGAAATGTAAAATAAATGAAATGTGTAATTCTGACGATATGTTTCATTCATTACTGTAAGACGATTATCCAGTTTTGGTATATATCTTTGATATAAGTTAACAATATATATTTATTTGATGATCACGCATATATTAAGTTTAAAAATTAATCAGTTAATCAGTACGTATTAAAAGTTCATACAATGTTAATGTTGTACATTTGAATAGCGTCAACCCAACGTTATTGTCAATTATTAGGTAACGCTATAAGTTAAATTAAATATACTAAAATTGAATTAAAATTTTTTAACTAATAATTATTATATACAAATACAATTTGTTAATCTTTAAAAGTTTCGGTAAATGACTAGCACCAATGTTAAAAATAAATATTTATCAAATAGTTTAAATTTCGATAAACTGTATCAAACGTATTCTTCGGGTGATTTTCGCGATGACCGCGAACCGTTTGTTCCTCTCATCTGCCGACTTTCAATATCTGAATGGTCATTGTCGTTGTATGGTGGCCTCATATTCGGTGACCAGTTGAGCAAATAGTCCCAGCCAAGACCTACTGGTATGCTTGACGATTCAGATGCATTGTTTTGATTTCTATACATAGGCCCATCATCATCAGATGCAACCAAAGTACTTAAAGAGCCTCGAAACGACGAATCAAACGTATCGTATCCAACGACCGTTTGCTGTTGTTGTTTTGGTTGATGATTTTTTTGACTTAAAACTGAACCTTGTCGAGTGCAAGTATCTTTGTCTAAGTTAGGATTCTTAATATTGTTAAAAATTACATCACTAAGCTTCTCGCCAGACACGCTATTGTTGTCGTACTCGATTTCTGAGCAAGTAAAAGAGTCGTTTCCACTTTCGTCCGATGATGTATTACTCGTATCATCGTCATCTTGTTCATTTTGTGTTACCACCATATTTGGCGGTCTACCACTAGAATTAGATACCGCATCAACAGTGCTCACTAGACTAGACGGACGACGATCGCCGTGTGAAGATAATACTTGTGAACGGCTAGGGGCTCCACTACCGGAAATGCCACTACCGCTCAAACTATGGCCACTCATTACAGGACTATTAAGACTTCGTTCACTGTTACTATGCATTGGACAGTCTTTGCTCACTACGCCAGATGACGAAGTTGCTAGCAAAGCTGTTTGTAGAGGTTTGCCGCTTATATCCTGAAATAATATTAGTATAATAATTAATAGGATAAAAAATCAGTATAGTTTAAAAATGCATAAATCTATTAATTAATTTTAAATAAAATGTGTTAAAATAAGTGTTATGTTAGTTGATTCTACCATTTTTATCGACTTAAATTAAATATTAATCGATTTAACATTCAGAATATTATGGTGTTCAAATATAATTATATCAAAGTTTAAGTCAACTAAATAGCTTGTGTAACTTAAGGAAATCATGTTATTCTTCGAACCTTTATACATCAATGAGGTAAATAAGTTCAAATTGGCGATTAATATATAATTTAAGTCAATTAATAAAAATAATTTGTCAAAATAAAACATTTTAAAATCTTGTAATTGTTAATTAATTAATTCACTGATTAAAGTATTGTTTTTTAGTAAAGAATACATTGAATTCAAATATAAACAAAAAATAGAACTGACTTACCCTTAACGTTAGAATTCTAGGCAATTGTTGACTTAATTCACTACTGGGACTTAATCTAGCCAATGGCGTGCTTTGATGTTGTATGTGATTAGAAGAATCCAATGGTGGAGGAGGAGGTGGAATAGATGATCGACTATCCCTAGAATGCGGTGATTGGAACCCATTCGAATGTCTCATTTGCTTATGAAACATATTTGTCGGTAATCCGGGACTTAAATGGGTTTTCATTCTTCGTAGATTGTTTCCATCTCGGTAACCTTAAGTATAAAATTATAATTTAGTATACAATATATATATATATATATATTTTTTTTTTTTCAACTCTCAATTCCAAATATTAATACCAAATAATATACCAAGAATTTTTCATTAGTAGACGAGGGAAAGATAATACTCAATTAATTTTTAATTATCGTCTAGTCATTTTCTTCATTACATCATTATATTTTAGATAAACTAGTTATGTACGTTACCATTTAAAAAAATAAAGTTGACATCTCTATAAGTTATAAGGGATGATTCTAAAAAGTAATTATTAGTTGATAAATAAAAATTATTTTTTTAATTTAAGTGTAATCAAGTTGTTTATGATTTAACTCAGTATACTTTTTAAAATATGATCACGTGGATAAAAACTAATCATTTATCTAATATAATTTAATAGCTTACTTTTATAGTGATAAATTATATCAATATCAGATGGTGCGATAGAACTAGCATTTTCTAAATCATAATGTTCAGGCATGTCGTGATCAGTTGTGCTATCATGCTGATGTATATTTTTCATAATATGTTGATTGAGTTCATCTCTCTGAGGAGGTGGTGATTTACCGATTACTTCTCTTTCAATTATATCGGGTCTATGAGATCTACGTGTATCATTCATTCCCAGATCTTGATCTTTGTAACGCTTAGAAAGTATTTCTGGTGGTATCATATGGTGTCTTATAACATCTCCTGATTCAGATATGAAAGAAGATACTGGGATTGAATTTAAAGCAGAAGATTCATTATTTAAACTTCTTTGAAACTTGTTATTGTCCGAATCCTTATCGTCTTTAATTTGTTTTCTGATTTTAAATACTACAAAACTAACTGTAATGGCCATAATAAGAATAACAAAAAAGATAATGACTAGAGTAATTCCAAGACTTAATGGATCCGTCACAGTAACTCCGGATGCTGCTAATCCAACTAAGTCACAATCAAATGACGTTCGACCAACATGATAAACTTCTGAGAATATGCTACCAGTTCCATTAAATGGTTGAAGTTCTTTATTAATTGTAAAATTGGCAAAACATCCTGTAAAACCTAAAATAAAATTAATAATAATTATTAATTTTATTTAATAAAGTACTAATTATTAGTATTTATAACACCGAAATAAGTAAATATATCATTCTATTTAGTTTAGGCCTCGCTAAATTTTTATAAAAATTTCAAATTTAACAAGGTATTTTTATAGGTGATAATAATTTTTAAAATAGATGATAAGGTTATTATAAAAAAAATCATAACTGATGTTTAAAGTAACTTTTATTGAATTAGTATATTATGCAAAGTATAATTCATATGTATCATATGTGTGTATCATACTTGTCATAATTATTATTGACTTACTGTCAGTGGAAATTTTTCCAGGAAGATATTCTAAATCCATGCCTCCTAAATATAATTTAGTTAAGTAAGGATCCATAAAATCATGCACACTGGCTGAATCCAGTTCTTCGCCAACTTTATTATCATTTAAAAAGATTTTTAAACTCTTAGCACCTATAACCATTCTTAGGTTATGCCAATTTCCATCATCTAAATTGTTTCCCATAGTCATATTTACTGATGATGTAGATGTACTTAAGTATGAAGTATAAAGTAGCCTGCCTTGATTAAGCTGTAAATAATACATTACAATTTATAAGGTAAAAAAGTTAATTTTTTTTTTGTGTATATATTATTAAATACCTTAATTAATGTAAAATCTGTGTTAGATGCTGCTAAAAGTATGGTTGAATTTGATTGCATAGTTCTAAACATTAGACTGAGTTCTTTAATTGGTGGTATTAAATAAACATTTTTATTGTTTTTTTTTTGTTGCTTCCAAATTGTTGTTCCATAATATATATTCTCCAATAAATGTAGTCGTCTGTGTTTTTCTGAAATTTTATATTCTAAAAATGCACCATTATTTAAAGATACTGGTTGAAAAGCTTGATAGCAATTTGGTGACAATATATCATTTTCTAGGCATTGGCACATAATTCCAGTCCATTTTTCTAAACACATGGATCCTTCACCACATAATATCGGTGACTGAGAAGAACATTGCACTTGACGGTTACAAAATGGATCAACTAATTTTGATGAAATTGGATTGCTTAAATTTAAACTATAACCATTAACAGTAACACTATGTAAACATCCTACGAAATCATCTGAATGCACTTGGCCAGGTCTTTCTAAAATAGGGTCAGCAGACATCACTCCACCAATAAGTAAATTATTACCATTAAAATTTAATGTCCTATAATTTAAAACAAATTTATAATGCTGAAAACTTACATTAATAAAAAAAAGGTGATTTTAATAGAAACATAAATATACATACCCAACAGTTCCAGTGCTATCACTATAGCAAGTTTTGTTTGACGGCTTACATTCTTCACAATTATCCCCATTATCAGTACATGATGCAACACTCAAAGAAAGTACTTTACCATTTCTAACTGCGGTTATTTTTTGCCAAAAACCATCTGCCAATGATGAACCATCACTTTTGCCAACACTTATTGATGTTATTGAGCTTCTAGAACCACCATATGAAAATACACATCTTCCTTCAATCAGCTCAATCGTTATAAAATCTGATCGTCCACCAACTTGAGTTCCATAATTATAGAGTAATAAAGAATCAGATTTGATTGTTGAAAATACAATAGTTATATCATTAATTGTACTATCTAAAGGTGGAAATGTCATATAAGAATAATCATTAAAACCATATGATGTCTTTTCGCAATGCCTTCCGTGTAAACCATTTGGGCAATTACATTTATAACCTGGTTTTAAAGAAACGCATGAACCACCATTCAGACAAGGATTTGGTCGACATGAATCAGCAGTTAATTCACATGTATTTCCTCGATATCCCGGTCTACATAGACAGAAATATCCAACATTATCTTGTGTTTGCTTACAGCTGCCTCCGTTTAAACAAGGGTTTGTATCACATTTATCATAACGTTCTTTTTCACATTCAAAACCTTCACGATTTGATAGACATAAACATTGAAAACTTGTACCTTGACGCCTACAAGTACCACCATATTGACAAGGACTTGAAGCACACGGATCTTGGTGTTTTTCACATCTACTACCGGCATAACCATCTAAACAAGTACATGTAAATTCTTGTAAAATCGCAGGTGAAGTAAAAATATATCCTTGAGTACTTATAATACGAAATTCTTTCGATATAATTAATGAACTCTTACAGCTACCATTATTTTCACAAGTATTTATTTGACATGGATTATAATCAATGTCAATGTCTGATTTCATTGTTTGTGTAAAATAACTTGATCGTTTTCTTAAAATATGACTAGCATGTTCTTTATCAATATCTCTTACAGCAATCGCTAGTACAATACCATAATCTATTTCATTTATATTATATAATATAGAACTATTTTCTTCAAATGTTGAATTTAATGTACTGATAAATTTTGTATAATGATTTAAAATAAAATCAGATGCTGTAATATTATTTATTCTTGCAAAAATTGTATTTTCTATAATATTTTTATCAATTGTTTGATAATTTATTGTAACTGTATTGGTAACAGAATTATGTTTTCCATCATTGCCTAATATTTTTAAAACTGTCAAAGGCTGTATTTTTTTGTTAATATATAAATCACACGATTCAGGGATTGAAAATTCATCAGTGGGTACTTCAAAAAAACATTTGTAGTCACCAGTCAAATCAGAATCAATTGGTTTAACATCTGCTATTTTACCCACAGATAACTCATTTATCAAGGAATATAAAAATATTGAAATTGTACGAGCACTTGATGGACTATCATTTTGATCTAAAATGACTATATTAAGTAAGTTTTCTGTTGTTATTTGAGGAGAACCATTATCAGTTATTGATATCTAAGAAACATAAAAATAAGTTAATAAAAATAATATTAAGTGGCAAAAACATTTTGAGAAATTAATAATGAGAGGTTACAAAAAAAAATTTCTGTGGACAAACTACCATAATAACTTTTGGTTTCACTATTTTGCTCAAATTTTTTTTATATTAGTATTACCATTTAATTGATGAGGGTAAGTGTTTTTTTTTCAAATGTTAAAGGGCTATAAATTATATACAATTTAAAATAGATTTATATCATTAGTTTGTTTTAAATAATTGTCTAGTTATTTACAAAGATTTTATATTGTTTTATACATAGTTATTAAATTAAAAAAATTCAATCACTATCTTTCTTATAACCATAAAAAATATAGGCAAGTATAAAAATATTCTTATATAAAATTTTAAGGCTTATGTTCAAATTTGAAATATTTTTAATATATTGAATTATAATTTACTTTTTTTAAATAATTAAAAATTTTTTGTAAAAATAACATACCACTATATTAAGGTTTGGTGTTTGTTCACGATCAATATGTCTAGCAGTTCTTAGAAGTCCAGTTGATTCATCTAATGATACAAAATCTCTATGAGGGCCACCAACAATTTTGTATGTAAATGGAGCCCCATTTGGAGATTGATCTGCATCAGTTGCTGTTAGAACCATAATATTCGTATTGATGGGTTCGTTCTCAGAAACATATCCAACCCGATTTTCTGGTGATAACACAGGACCATTATCATTTACATCAGTTATTATAACTTTTACAATGGCTTTCCCGGTTTGAGGTGGCAAACCCGTATCTACAGCTCCAACTAATATTTCATAATAATTTACTGTTTCTCTATCAAAATCACCAACAGTTTCAACAGACCCATTTTGAGCATTAATTCTGAATAATTTTGTCATATTATTTAAAATTGAGTAAGTAAATTGATTATTTTGAGGCCACGCATCGTTGTCAAAAGCATGAACAGTTAAAATTTTTGCTCCTGGTCTTGTCCCTTCAGAAACAAAACATTCATAATATTCTTGACTAAATTCTGGAGGGTCATTTCCATCTTGAACTGATATAATTACTTGAGCTTCATTAGTGTCATTTCCTTTAATACTCCCATCATTTTTGGCCAAAACTGTTAGAATTATACGATTTTGAGTTTCTCTATCAAGTTGCTTAGATACTCTTAACAATCCATTGTTTCGACCAATAGTAAATCCTTTATTATTACTTGAGCCAACTAATAAATAAAATACTTCTCCATCAAATCCATCATCTAAATCAGTAGCTTTAACAGCACCGATAATAGAACCTATTTCAGCAGATTCTGCCACATCGTAATAAAATACAGATTGACTAAAAGTAGGGTAATACTCATTAACTCCTTCAATATGAATGATGACTTTTGTCGAGCCAGAAAATGATGAATCAGGATTTGTAGCCACAAGATTAATAGTAAATAATTTTTCTTGTTCAAAATCAAATGTACTTTTAGTATATATTACTCCTGAAGTACTATTGCAATAAAAAAAATTTTCTCCGGATCCACCTGTGATAACATAATTAATAATTGCATTTTTTGGTGAATCAAGATCTACAGCTATTATTTGTGATACAAATGTACCAACAGGCAAATTCTCCAAGACAAAAACATCATATTGTGTTTTATTGAAAACAGGTGGGTTGTCATTGATATCAGTCAGTATTATAGAGACAGTTGCTATTGATTGTTTTGGTTCAAATCCTAAATCTGAAGCAGTAATATTTAATTTATACTCTTTTAAAAATTCATAGTCTAAGATTTTTGCAATAGTAATAGCACCCGTTTCTTGATTTAAGTGAAATTTATCAGATAAATTTTTAGCTTCATATCGTATAATTCCATTCGGACCTTCATCACCATCTGTTGCTTTTACTGTTAGTATTGTAGTCCCAATAGGTTCATTTTCCGGAACAAATACTTGATAACTTAATGATGAAAATTCTGGAAGATAGTTATTTTCTCCAGTTATAATAATACTCACACTAGTTAAAGCTTGTTTTGGAGGAATACCTCGATCTGTTGCTCTAATAACTAGTTCAAATGTTTTGCCTAAATCTACACTGCTTAATTTCTTTTTTAATGTTATTAAACCAGTATTCTTATTCAATTGAATGATTTCTGTTGCATTTCCACCATAAATAAAATAATCAATCTCAGAATTAACTCCAGAGTCTTGGTCTGTTGCAATGATAGTATGCAATGGAGACCATTGCCTTACAGATATTGGGATAGGAATAAAGTAAGATTTCTGTTTGAACTCTGGAGCATGGTTGTTAGAATCAATTATATTGATAGTAACGGAACATTCGGAAGACATTGGAGGTTTTCCATTATCTGTAGCTACAACGATTAAAGAAAACTCATTTTCTGGTGATATTTCTTTAGACGAATTTTTATAAGTTATAATACGTTTAGTGAATATATCTCCATAAATTGGATCAATCACAAATAAATCAGAAGGATGTTTGAAATTATAAAATATGGCAGAATTTGAACCAACTTTATCTTTATCCATTGCAATTATACGACCAACGGTTAATCCAGTATTTTGAGATTCTGGAAAATTAAATTTGTAAAATGAATTTTCGAATTCTGGTGCATTATCATTAACATCTTGAACTGTAATAGTTAATGGTGTTTCAGCTTGCCATGACCCATCAGCAGCAATTACATTTAATAAATATTCATCTTGATTTTCTCTATCTAATTCTGATTGTACATACACATTTCCATTAGATGGATCAATTTTGAACACATTACCTGGATTTTCTGTGAATCTATAAGTCGCATTAGCATTAGCTCCAATATCTAAATCTGAACTTGTGATTCCTATAACAAAAGAACCAATCTCCATATTTTCTGTTACATTCACACTAAATAATCGAGTAAACCTTGGAGGATTGTCATTAATATCTAATACAGTTATATGAACCATTGTTGATCCTGTAAGTGATGGATATCCCTGATCAATTGCTTCAACAATTAGAGTGTACTGATCGTCAGTTTCTCTATCTAATTTTATATTTGTAACTATTTCTCCAGATATATCATCAATGTTAAATATTCCATTTAAATCATCTAATAATTTGTATGTTAATACACCATTTTTTCCTGTATCCTTATCCAAGGCTTTGACTGTTATAACAGGTGTAGGTGGAAACGTTTCTTCTTGAATTGTAACTGAATAAAACGGTAATTCAAATACAGGAGGATTATCATTTTCATCAGTTACATTAACGATTAATAAAATTGTACTTCTAAGACTTGGCTCGTCAGAATCTGATGCTTCTAACCACAGTTTATATTGACTAGCCTTTTCGTGATCAACCCCATTTTTTCCTACAATAATTTCACCACTTATTACATCAACTTCAAATGTGTTATCAACATTTCCACCAGCTATAGAATAACGGAGAATCCCTTTAGTTCCTGTTTTAGGAGATGTAGCTGTAATTCTAGATACACTACTACCCGGACTTGAATTTTCTACCAATGATAATTTTTCGGTTCCAGTTAAATGAACTACTGGAAAATCACGAGCTGGCCAGTTTATAATATTTAATTCAAACTCTGATGTTTTTGAAACTTGACCATTATCACTTGCTTTAATTTTGATTTTATATTCTATTTGTTTATTCAACTTTTGTAATGATTCAACAACTCCAGTGTTTTTGTCAATTTTAAACATTTCTTTATGATCACCAGCCAAGTAATAAGTGATTTTTCCATTATTTCCTGAATCTAAATCTGAAGCAGTCACTCCATATATAAACTGTTCAGCTTGTGTTTTATCGGAAATATAAATGGTACTCTTTGACGTTGGAAATTTAGGATAGTTATCATTAATGTCATTTACGTAAATAGTCAAATTCACAGCTGATGCTTTGGGATCTGTTATACTTGAGTCTTGAGCTACAACTGTAAGGTGAATTTTATCATTTTCTTCTCTATCAATATTATCTAATGTTCGAAGTACTCCTGTGTCTTCATCCAATTGAAACTGATTAAATTTATCTCCCAAAAGTGTATACCTAAACATTTGATTAAAAACATTAAAATAATTTTAAATTATAAGATTTATAAAAAATATTACTTGATTTTAGCGTTTAATCCAGCATCTAAATCTGTCGCAACTAACTGAATAATAAAATATCCTACTGGACTATTTTCATCAACATAAGCTGCGTAATTTTGCTGTTGAAATTTTGGACTATGGTCATTAACATCTTGAACTATTACACGCACAAATCCTGTACCACTCAATGGGGGCATTCCTATAAAATATTTTTATACGTAGATAACAAAATCCTAAGTCATAATATATCTATATATATGAAGTAGAAATATATTTACCAGAATCCATAGCTACAATAGTAATCATATGTTCAGATTGCATTTCCCTATCAAGACTTCTTGTTAAATGTATTTTTCCAGTTGTACTATCTATCAAAAAAAATTCAGTATCTTTTAAAAAGTACCGAATTTTACCATTATATCCAGAATCTGCATCAGTTGCTTTTACTTCAACTAATGGAAATTTCCTTAGATTAACATTAACATGTTCTTCAAGAACGTGAATTATATACGGAGAATCTGGGAAAATGGGATAGTTATCGTTTATATCCTGAACAGTTATAGTAACTACAATTTCATCAGAATTAACATGACTTTCTAAACCAATGGGACTATCTTCTGCTCTGATATTTAAAACGTAACGAGATTTTCGTTCATAATTTAAATATTTAGCTACACGTATTATACCTGTATCATCTTCAATACTAAAATCTAAATTTTCGTCACCACTTGTAATGGTAAATCTTAATGCGGCGTTTGGTCCTATGTCATTATCAGAAGCAAATAATTGCATTACAGCATATCCTACTGTAACGTTTTCAGGAACAGTGGACGTATAATGCCTAGGCTCAAATATTGGACTATTATCATTTTCATCCAAAATGTTGACTGTTAGTTTTATTAAAGAACTAAGAAACGGGTCTCCTCGATCTTTAGCACCTACTTCAAGAAAGTATGAAGATTTTATTTCTCGATCTAACTTTTTTGATACTCTTAAAATTCCGTCGATAGAACCTATTGTAAATGTTTTATCATCACCGGCATTTATCCAATATTCTATAAATCCATTTCTTTCTTCGTCATCATCTATTGCTTTAAGAACAGTAACTACTGTACCAATATCCACGTTTTCTAATACTGAAGTGTAATTTGGAGTAACCCATTGTGGTATACAATCATTTACGTCCTTGATCGTTATTGTTATCTAATCGGAAAATTCATCAGTTTAAATGTTACAACACTAGTTATTTTAAACTCAAATGTCAAAATTTAATTACCTGAGTTGTAGAAGTTAGTTCAGAAGCCTTTAAGCGTGCTCCATCCCTGGCAACTACAGCAAGATTATAGAAAGCAACTAATTCACGGTTTAAACTTCGAATCGGCCAAATAGAACCATTGTTTTGATCAATAGCAAAATCATTATGTTCTTGATCTAATAATTGAAAAGAATACTTGATATCACCATTCAATTCTGTAATATAAAATAAAATATTAGAGACTAAGGATCATGTATGCATTAAATAAAAAATAGTATTTACTAGAGTCACGATCGGTCGCTAATACAGTTGCTATAATAGTATTTTCAGTGACGTTTTCATAAATGTCTATACTATAACTATTTACTTCAAACACAGGAGTATTATCATTTTCATCAATAACATTTATATATACGGTTACAGTAGAGGACAACATTGGTTTTCCTCCATCCTGAGCTTGAATAATTAAGATATAATGTTGAACCTATATCATAAATCAAGTTTGATTGAATATTTATTTACAAATATTGTATTAGTATTAACACTCAATGCCAACTTACTTCTTCATAATCTAATTTTCCAGTTAAAGTTATAATACCACTGTGTGAATCTATATTAAACACATCGTTACCCCAATCACTCACTACTGTGTATGTAACAACACCGTTAATGTTTTCATCATCGTCAATTGCAAATATTTCACCAATTTTTGTACCCCTAATCGTGGCTTCACTTATATCAATAGAATAAACGTTTTTGTTGAATACAGGAGCATTGTCATTAATATCAAGAATCTAAAACCACAATCAAATATATGCAATTAACAAAGTATAATATATCAATCTTTCAAGAAATATAATTAAAATATGAAAAATGTTAGTGTTCATTTAAGTCATCCTTTAAACAAGCCAAATTATTCTTTCATAATATTTTTATCTTTCTATATTTTAAGACTTTAAAATGATTTTTATTATTTTAATTGATAAAATAGATATTTACTTACTATAAAAACAATAGACGTATCAGTATTATGAACTTCATCAGATACTCGTATTGAAAGCACGTGTCTGGAGCTGGTCTCTCTATCTATAGGTTTACGTATACGAATGTTGCCTGTAGACGCATCCAAATGGAACGACGAGCTATTGTCATCATCTCCAATAACCATGTATGTTAAAGACGAGTCTAAATCGGGGTCGGTGGCTTTCAAAGTAGCTACTAACGATCCAACTGGCATTTCTTCGGAAATCATGAACTCCAGTAAGCTGCTAGGCCAAACTGGACGATTGTCATTTTTATCTAGAACTGTCACTATAATCTGGAAAAATACAGAATAAATTTTCAATGATTTAATAATTATTTTTTAAATTTATTTGACAGTTATAATGTCTTTAATCAAACAAATTTTTTTTAGTAAGCAACTACAACAAAGGAGATTTTTGTTTATTTTTACTCCAATTCCTTATATACTTACTATAGATAACCTTAAATATCTTTTCAACAACATAACTATATAATGATATTAATGTTATAAGTGTAGTTAAAATAAAGTTGTTAAGAAGTTAAATTAAATTTTTAGAAGTATTTATGTGGCGCATATATATATATATATATATATATTTAGAGGTTCTACATGTTTCTCTCCAAATTGCTCCTGCGAGCAATTTCATTCAAATAATTGAATATAGTGTCATTAAAAGTATTTAAAAAATGATAAGTAAAATAATTTACTAATAATAGCTTCTAAATTCACTTTTTTAAAACTACAAAATTGATAAGATTTCAGCTATTTAAATATATCTTATAGTTGTACATCTTTAAATACAATTCTAAATACTTGAAAAACTGAAAGTAGATTAGTAATATTGATATTTTATTACTTAAATTATTAGATACTCTTTAGTTTTTCTATTTATGATTATTTAAATTAATTTTATAATTTGGATCTTAATTTGTAAAGAAATCATAAAAACGTTAAAAAAAAACTAATACCTACATAGAATACACTTAATAATAAAAAATAATAATAATTTATTTTTTTTAACAAAGTATAGTTATCTTGTATGTTTTATTAATAACTTTATTGTTTGCATTCTGTAATTTATGTGAGTACATAAAAATTATATATTTAATTAGTGTAATAAATGTTACTTTTAAACCAATAATTACAAATTATTTCAACGAAGTTAAGTTGCAATAGTTTAATTTTTTCAATTCCCCATAGGAAACAGTTGTCAGGTAAACTAACCCTACTTAATTAATTATTTAGCATCTGTTCTTGAAATATACAGATATATATTATTTAAAATAACAATATCTTTTAAAGAATTAATTTTTAATTATAATTATAAAAATGCTTTAAAAAAATTATATGCTATTCTTACTATTACAGTTCTTAAAATTTAATTTTAAGAAAATGTTTGAATGTGAAAAAAGAACCTTTCCAGTAAAAATAACTTGTCATATTATGATTCACGAAAAATAGTTTCCATTTTAATAGATTTCATCAGTCATCTCAATATCTGATTTTACTAATTTGTCAGTTTTTGTAAAATATTCAAGGAGTTTTAAAAATTATCATTATTTAAAATGTTGACAACTTTTAATTTTGTGGCGTACATCCAAAAACGGATGTCACCATAGATGCAGATATGGTTCTTTTAATACTAGTACACGCTGATATGTTTTTCGTACCACTAAGCAGATTTTGAATTCTTTTAAAATATTGTCATGGAGTATTGAGTTACTATTTTATAGTATATAACATAACCTTTGATTTGATATATGTTTAAAGGACGCAGTATTTCCGGAACATTTTCAAAAATTAAGTTGAAAAAGTTAGTTTTTATAAAAAAGTTTCAATTTTAAATCCCCCCCAATGAGCAGGTTAAGTGTTAGATTTTCAAAATAATGATATCAAATGAAAGGGAAATATCTAAAGTTTTAGTATAAAAAAAAATTATGTTAATTTGTTTATTTTTCAAAAAGTTATGGAAGTTTTAAGAAAAAAAAGTGAAAAAAATGACAAAATATCCGATTTTTAAATTTGTAATTTTTTTGGATATTTCCCCCATTTTCGGGGAACGAGGGAAATTTTTTCAATTTTTAAGGGTAAGTTCTCCAACTAGATACGATTTGTGATATTTTGGCGTACTTTTGAAAGAAATCGGTCCAGTGAGAGCTGAGAAAAAGTGGCAACAAACATAAAAAAAAAAAAA